GCAGATCCCATTCACTGTTACTATAGAGTTTGGGCTGGTAAAGAGGTGGTGTGGGGGTGTATCCTGGGGTTATTTGGGCCGTTAAAAACGATGGGACAGGTCCCATAATTTTCCTGTGCTTCAGCCCAGCGCTAGGACCATGTGCTCCTCGTACCCCCCCTCCAACTTGGCGCTGCCACATTAATTCAGGGAGGGCCAGGAAAAATCAGGAGGGAGTGGTCCCTGGGGTTTTCAAGGTCTGTGAATCCATTGGTGATCTCTGCAAGACGATAGGAGAACAAGTGGAGAAGATGTGTGCTGCCCTCCCAGCCCCAATTACGCAACTTGGGGGGGGTGTAGCTCAAAAACGGAACCGCCGATTTCCTTCAAACTTGGGCATTGGGGTACACCCATAAGGTACTATAAGACCCCCAAGTTTCAGAATTTTTGGACATGCCCGACTTTCAATAACATATCAAAATATGGGTATAGTCATTTGGATGCACCCGTAGAGGCGTCTCCCGCCTCTCTACAGACATCCGATGGTACTCCACCTCGAAACTTAATTGGTCCTGAAGAGTATATATACGAAACGGTTGTGTTGGGAAATACCCAACACCGTTCAAGTTCCCCTGCGCACTACAAGTCACAAATGCCTCCCGTTCTTCAGGCGGGACTGGCCTCTTTGCGACAGGCGCACCTGGTATGGGGACCAATGGACGGAGTTACGACCATACCTGCCTTTCAACCGTTGGGCGCTTTCATCCTCTGACGGAGGCTCTGTCTGCAGCTAGGTCCCTGGGCACGCTCGTAGCTAGTCGCATGCCTGCGGCGACACCTCCAAATTGCGGGAACACCCTAAAGCTCATGCGTACCGCCTTCGTTGGGGAAACCTGACTTAGGCACCGGTGGCGAACCGGGTATGGTAACAATCGCTGAGATGCGGCTGAAAAGTCCAATGGGCAACCACGCAGCGAAGCCCGTAACGGTCACGCCGACGGGTAGCGTTCAACGACTAAACGGAGGTGCGGGTCGGGTTTACTGCCCTTCCCGTAAGATATAGTCTTCATAGCGGGGAAACCCGTGGGGGTGGCTAAACCGAGGGACGAGGCATAGCGTACTCGGCCTGAACCACCCCGCCGCTTAAAATGCGCTGGACTCGAGTCTCCCCTTAGTAAAGGGAGGGCGACGCGCTTTACGCTGCGCTCGAGACCGGCGTTACTCTACTCCAGGTACGTGGTCATAGGGCCAACCAACACTGACCTACTCTGCTTCCCAGGTCGTATCGTCGCGGTACGCGGACACCATTAGTCCCGTTCTCCATAGGGGGGCGGCAATGGGGTGGACGTCACCTGCGAGACGAGTCGTCAACCATGGGGACGCTTGCCCTTAGCTTTGACTGTTGGTAAGGACGGCGAGCGATACTTTGTGTATGACGGCGGTGTACGGACTGCCTAACCCAAGTTGCTTGGATTCGGCCGGCGGACTCACCGGGGTTTTACTCCCTGGTACGATCCAAAGACGATCCTCGCGGAACGGGGGTGTGCGTCCTCATAGACCAATGGAAAGTTATCGTGACTGCAATGGGGAGCGCTCGTTAAGGGGCCCCGGAGCTAGCGGTGACCAGTACAGCGGTACTAGGCCCAACCCGACACGGTACTGCGACGAGTCCCTTATGGGGTTCCCAGGCCTAAGCTTTCCAGCTAGGGTACGGTGTCCAAGCCGAGGCGTCACTGCAATACGCATACGCTTATGATGGCCCACGCACTTTGCCTTATGACGCTGAGTTCGAAAGGCATTATAACTGGGAGGCACCAACCTTCACGAGCGACGGAGCGTACATCCTGTTGATCACCAGTCGCCGCGGTCTCTGTCCTAACCGGTCCCGTCGGTCTCTATGCCTCGCGATTCTCGGACCGCAGGCCCTGGCTAACGCGACCTTGCATGAGCGGGACAGCCGCGGATCTTGTGCACCGGCCACCCGCCTGTTTCGATGAGTAGGACGGCGCCCCTTTAGTAAAGGGCCCAACGTGACATTAGTCCACCGTCCCAACCTCCTGATATCGGGCCAACCCAGCTTGGGCGGCGGTTCCTTGTGGACGGCCCTCGCAGGGATCTTGTGCTCCGGCTCGAGGCGAGTGGTAACTAGCCCAGCCAGGACCGTCTCGCTGTATTGCGCCGGTCAAAGGGTGATGCGTTGGACCAAGTTTCAACTTCTCTTCCTTACGCTTACCCCTCCTCGCTTCGCTCGTCGCGGCAAGCTACCACCCTAACCCATACGTAAACCATCCATACCTCCCGAGCCGACAGTGCATACAAGATGCCGCGCCTTACGCAGTCAACACTCCTGTCCGCTACCGAGTTCCAGCGTTCAATCGCCCCCACCCTCACTGCGTCAGACCGCGTTACCGCGGCAGCAGCTGGCATTGGGAAAGGCCTCGAGTCACTTGAGGCCTCCCGCCAGTCTCGTTTATTGGGGTGTAACTCCGTGAACGAGGTGATTGCGTGTGTCCCTCCGGACTATCGCAACGTATTACGGGCTCCCTTAGTGGAGATCGCCACCTCGAGCCGTAAGCTCGGTGACGCCCGTCAGCGGCTTTCTAAGCTGCTGGTGTGCTTTAGCACCGATACGATCCCTCCGAACCTCCGTCAGGGGGTTCCGGCCGTGCAGTTCACGGCCGAGTTCCTAGCCACCGAAGCCGGCTCGCTCGCTCGCAAGAGCGTTGCTGATGCCCATGCGTCCTACCTCAAGGCGCAGCTTCAGATCCAGATCGACGCTGCTCACGCGGAGATCAGGTGGCGGGAGCTCTCTCTCACTCCGGAACGCCTATACTCTGGCGACGCGTCAAACAACTCGTCAGACAGGGGGCTCAAAGGCTTCATCATCGACCGCTACGCCGTGCTTAAAACCACGATGAAGCTGCCAGTCGAGTCCTCAACTGAGGGCTCCATGCAAGTCGACACCATCCGGTGGGAGGTTCCTCCCGTCGTCCATGACATCTACCTCGAGATGCTCAGGGACGTTATCTTCTACGCGCACCGTATCATCTTGATTCAGGAGGCGTTACAGGCGCAGTCGCAAGCTGTCGTCGAGAAGAAACGCGCGGTCGTCCAGGCCGCCAAGGAGAAAGCCAGCAACGGCGGGACCTCTGGTCCCGCAGGTTCTTCGTCCACGGCTGTTACGCAGTCAACCATGGACAAGAAGTTAGACAAGCTGAAGAAGGAGTTGCAGGGCGGGGCGAAAGCCAAGGTTAGTCGCATTCGCGAACTCACCACGTCCTATTATACTGACCCTACCTTCATAGAAGGCAAGGAGCAAGCGTCAGAAGAAAACTTCTTCGACGTTGAATACGCCGGCAGCCACCCCGACGATCCCCCCTCCCGCACGTGCAGCGAGGGCCAAGTATTCGGCGACGAAGGCCAAGAAACCCAAGGCCAACAAGCCCTCCGGCGGCAACGGAGGCAGGAAGGCGGGCGGTCAGCCCGCGTCGAAGTAACTCACCTGCACCCCGACGAGGGTCAAATGGTAAGTTTCCAGTTTAATAGGCCTTCGACACTACCAGATTTTTGTCTAAAAATCCCTATCCAGGACGCGATCGGACTTATTTTGTTCTATACTCCTATACATGTATTAGATAGCCTCGCCTACCAAAATATTGTTCATGTTAGTCCTGGTGTGAATCTTCCAACGAGCATCGCCACTCAGTTAAGCGTCGGTATGAATTACCTTTATCACCAACCACAACGGTCCGAATTGATTACTCAAGCATGGACTGACTTTAAGTATCGCCTTCGATGGCGAATGTGGCATGAACTGAACGGCAACAATCAATGTTACGACCCAGACTACGAAGTGAACGAGCCCAAAGAAAGGCACGAACCACCTAGTTTACCGCATTATATAGAACAAGGCATTACGCGCGCCGGGAATTTTGTGTCTACGACCATCTCCCATATGCCGCATGATCTTGACGTGGAGGAACATCCTCATAAATCTCTTACTCCACGTTTCGCAGTTGTTCG